CGGGTAACGTTCTCCGAGAGCTCCTTTTCCTAATCCGAGCGGTGAAGTAGTGTGTCGTGACCTCTCAAACCCTCTTCCACAAAACCCAGTGGACCTCCCTGAGAGCTCCTGGTCCTAAACCGAGCGGTCAGCGAGGTATCGGCCATGCGGTCCTCAACCGCATCACACCGTCCGGATTCAAAGGGTAATAAGATTTTCTTGTCCATTTTAAATGCATCCGACGTACACCGAATCAGAAAGATAAAATATCATGAGTGACCACTTAATACGTTAATACCATCATTAAATGCGCAATACAGCTGAGTATTGACATGCATATTGCACAAAATATGGTATTAAATGGACAATTACCAGGTATATTAGCAAGTATATGGATTTATCGTCATATCCAATATGACTTAATGAACTTGATTGCCATAATCCCTATAAATATAGGGTTACGGCCCGGTAAGACCCGTCATTTTCTATCGTTTTCTATCTTATCTATTATACACGAGTGCACAGAAATGTACCTTTAACGTCACACACACCATAGACGTCCGTCCTCATAAGCCCCAACGTATTAATTGACCGTTGGCACTATCCTAAATAAGTGAACTATCACCGTCCGTTGTGGGGGGAAAAACTGACCGTCCTAGATAATTATCGACGTCCGGCCCGACCCACTACGCTAAGAGGCCTGGATCAGCATCTCGTCAAACTCCCCCCCCCTCCTGTCGCACCTTAACGTCGGTTTTGGAGGGTGACGACGTCTATAATATTAAGACGTTTGGGCCCCCTCCACAACGACCTTTAGGTGGTGACGACAATTATTCTTCCAACCACCCCTGCTAGCACCACAAACTCCTTGTGGGGGGGGGGGACGGACGTCTATATAATTATAGACGTTCGTCCTCACCCACCGGACGTCCTAAGATGTCTGGACAATCACCTCTTCACAACTCCCCTCTGTCCAGCTCCTTAAACGTCCGTTGTGAGGGGGCACTAACTCTATACTATTAATAGACGTCCCTCCCTCAACACGGACGTTTAAGGGGCTGAAGACAATTAATTCTTCAACCACCCTTCACACCCGAAAGGTCGTTGTGAGAGGACGGTCGTCTACACTTATAATAGACGTCCTTCCCCATATCATACGTTTCAAGTGCTTGACAGGTGTTGAAGATTATTTTCAAACGTCCCGTTGTGGAATGGTACGTACGTCGACATTCTATAGACGTTTGGCCCCCCATATTACGGACGTTTTGGGTGCTGACAGGGTGGTTGAAAAGGTAATTGTCTTCACCATTACACGTCCGTTGTGGAGGGGGCCGGACGGCTACAATATTCATATAAAGTCCGTCCCCTCCACAACGGACGTTTAAGGGGCTGACAGAGGGGAGTTGAAGAGGTGATTATCCAGCCTCTTAGACGTCCGTGGGTGGGGCCCAAACGTCTATAATTATATAGACGTCCCCGTCCCCCCACAACGGACGTCGATAGTTTCACTTATTTAGATGACAACACCCTTTTCCTCTCTTCCTTACCGGGAGGGCAATCTTATGGCCTTCACCTCTCGCTCGGCCCGGAAATAGAACCCAGCTCCCCCTTCTGATCCAATCATTTCTGCAAGCAGGGGGGATCTTCGATGCTGTCAATTCGAACGCTTCAACCGCAGTTTCACCTCCCAAAAAGCAAAGTTGGCTTGACGAGCGCAGATGCGAGGAAGCAGGAGCAAGATAAGCGCTTTTGCTACTGAGAAAGTGAACGCGTGACGGTTCAAGACTTAGCCGAGCGTTAGCGAAGCTAGATTTACCGAGAGACTTCGAGTTAGCGAAGCGCTGTAGTAGCGCCGACCGAAGCCTTATGTGCTAAAATGCTGAGCCAAGGACGCTCCGCCTTATCTATAGAAGCAATCAACCGAGTGCACAAACGGACGTCTTGCAGTGCACAAACGAACTTCCAAACCCCACAGCCGACCCCAAAACATTCAGTAGGGGGTCGTCCGCGGACGTCTGACGGCACCGTGGGGCTCTACGTGGAACGTCCGAGGTGTACACCGAACTTCTGGGTAGGCTCGGGCCTACCACATCGAACGTCTATATACACGGTCCTTTGGACCCCCGACGTCTGAGTACCGTCCACCCACCAAGACGCGGGGAAGTCGGGAACGTCAAAAGGCAAAGACGTACGCTAAAGCCTCGTTCTTCACTATGATTACTCAACTAGAGACCCTGTTGAAGCATATCGACTTGAGCGGCGGCGTGTCTTCTAACGTCACCCCCTCGAGTGGATGCGTTTTTGGAGAACATTGAACAATAAAAAAAGCAGAACATAGAAAACGATCGACTCTCGACCAATTCAACCGAAACATGATTTCTTATATTCTTTATATCTGTATTGACTCTTTTTATTTACATAACTTTGAATGGTCACATAAAGCAAGTTTTTGGAAATTACTGTTTTTTGGAGCGTTATGGAGTCGTTTTGAGGGCTGGCATTCTCTTCTAGGGTCAAGGAGGGGAGATCACGAACACACTCTTGTGTTGTTCTTTCTCCTTCCCCCCTTTTCATCCTTCCAAAAGATTTCTACCAATTCCTCACAGTTTGTTACCTCGAGCACTTCGAGTCTTGTAAGATCTTTGACTACCGATTCTGGAAACAAACTTTTAAGACTCTTACAATCTTCAACACGCATTTCCTTTAGCAGTTGAAGGCCCATGACTCCCTCCGGATCCTTGTCCCACACATGCTTCAGTTGTGGTAGCCAATCTAAAGACAATATTTTCAGACGGAATATTCCGGAAGGTTTTGTCATCACTCTGTTCTCATCATTCATATTAAATATCACCTCTGCATCACTGCATCTGTATACATCTAACTCTTCCAAATTGTGAAAGCAAGAAAGCAAATGAGATGGAATTATATGCTTTAGAGTATCACACCGCCATACTGTCAACCTTTTCAAATAACCAAAGTTGTTTTGCTGCATCCAATGAGTGTCATCCCATAGTTGCTTTTTAATATATCGTCAAGCACAGATCTTCAGTATATGCGAAACTGAACCTGTAATCAGACAAATTATTAAATTACTTCTCTACCTTTTTTTTATAATGATACTTTTTATAATTTAATAATTATTAAATGACTTAGTATCTGTGAAAATACGACACGTTCGTTGTTCAGGGCGTATTCTTGTTTAAATGGAAATTTATAACATTGAATGCTTTTTCAGAAAATTAATATTATATTAAACTCTTTAAAATAGAAGAACCAATCTATTTAATAAATAGATAAAAGGACTTAAAAAAGTAATCCAAAAAAAAAAAACTCAACATTCTTGCTATTTAAAGCCTTTATGGCACAAATATGTATTTGTAATTTCCATGATTTTTTTTTTCCCATATAGGAAAAGTTGATAAAATTAGGAGAAATAGTATTAAATAAAGGAAAAAGTAAGTACCTTATCACTGAAAACCTTTTGTAAGGTGGCATCAAGTCACCTTTCCACTGCCATTTGGCTTTTTTATCTCCTTCCACACCAAATACATCTTTCAACTTTGGTGCTATGACTCTCTTTTCACTGAATTTTTCCATCTTTGGGCATCCTCTTATAATCAATATTTCCAGTGATGGAAATTCAAATTCACATTCCTTGTAACTGCAAAAGCTTGCGAGGTTCTTTAACCCCACAAGTTCTATAAAAATCAATTTACTGAATACAATTTTCATCACTTTGTCTTCTTCACTTCCCTCCATGCTTATTATTTGCTCTATTTCATCACAGTTGATTACCTTCATTGTCTTGAGTTGAACCATGCTTTTGGCCGTGGAGGATGCCATTAAATTTATTAATCCCCAACAATCCTTCAATTTCAAACATGTCAAGTAACTCAACGAAACAGAGGAAGGAGCTAAAGTGTTCAAATTGTAGCAACCTTTTAAGCTCAAAAGCTCCAGTCTCTGTAGAACTTGGTCTCGATCAAATCCTAGATCGTTTATATTTGAAGAACGAATAGACAATTGCTTCAACTGTAATACGACTCCCAATCTGTCTTGTTTCCCAATGTCTGGCTTTAACCATTCAAAATAACTGCCAGTCAATTTTAACTTTTCTAGATTTGGCATTTTGTACAGAAACGGATATAAAAGATCTGGGCGCTGAACTGAACTCAAGATAATAAGTTCTTTTAAATTGTGCCGTTGGGTACTTGGATAACAACTTTGGGCTTCCGGAAGTCATTTCCCAATCCTCCCTTGGGAAATACCTACACCGTAAAAGTAAGTAGTAAGACTAATGAATACAAGTAAGCCCTGGTTTGATTTTAGACATGTTTATTTGCTTTTTATTTTGCATTGAATTCTGTTATGATTTGGGAGTCTGTTGGGTTTTTTTTGTTTCTTGTTTTGGTTATTTGTCATTTAAAATCATAACATGAACTAACTTGGAACAACAATTCTTTTCAGACAGAATTTCATTTTAATTAATTAATGTCATGATGTATTAATGGAGATTTTTCAAAACAAATGTGAGATTAGAAATTCCAAGATTGATCCTGTATGTGGAAATAAAAGACTATTAGTAACCTCGGTTTTAATTTTTTTAGTGTTTATTTGAAGATATGCTCATTCACTTACAACATTTTTTTTGTAACCATCAGATAAACTACACCCTATTATAATATTAATTAAAAACTAATACCGGAAAGTCAAATAACTACACCCATCTTACTTATCTATACTATATACTATATATATCTAGATATATCTTAGATCTATATATAATATATCTATAATAATTATTTACTTAACTTAAAAAGTAATATGTTTCAATAAAACAAACTTCTCATACGAAACCCTTGTGTCCTATTTAGATTTGACATAAAGCCTTCACTACAAATTACTATCATTTTTATACAAAGTACAAACTTGTTATTATTACAATAATAGCAAACAAAATATTTTTACTAACATTAAAAATGAAATTTTTAATGAAAATAATAATATTATGGATAAAATTTAACAATGAAAATAAAATAGCATTCCTTTATTTCTTTTTAGAACTAAATAATCCTAAAACTCAATTTTTAATTTAATTTTTTTTTTATTTTCCTCAACCATACACAATCATTAATTTTGTTTTGGTTCTCATATATTTCTTTTCCTTCAAATTTTTTTACATATTTTTAATTATATTTCTTTTATTCTCTATTAGGCATATCATAAAAATTTGATTGAATATGATAAAGTTTGAATAATGCTTACCACTTCAATTGAGAAAACAAACTTTTCATCACTTGTTGTTTCACTTGTTTCTTGTGGAAATGTATTAAGGTTTATACACTTCCCTATACACAATTCCTTCAACTTTGGAAACTTTATTGGATGTCTCCCCTTGTAGAATTGCTTGATGTTTGGAAGCTCATATAATCTAACATAGCTTAGTTCAGGAAACTCTAATGTATCATTGTTATCTTCTGATGCATCTTTACTTGAAACAATTTCCACCATCCTCTCACAATGCAATATTGACATACGTTCAAGCTTTGATACATCTTTTGCCATAGAAGCTGGAAACAAATTCCTCAATTCATCACAATTACTTACATCTATAGTCTGAAGTTTTTTAAAATTGAAAATTCCATGTGGATCTTTGCTCCATAATTCCTTCAATTTCGGGAGGTCTTCAAGAAGAATAACTTGCAAATTTGTGTCTATCCCACCATATACATCTATTTCTTCAGAATCACTAACTTCAAAAATCTCTTTCACGGACTTGCAGTTAGAAACTTTCAAGTTAATCAAACTTTCAAACCATCCTTCCATGTGACTCGGAAAAATCTTGTCCAATTGATTGCATTCTTCAATGTTCACCGAAATGAGACTAGAAAAAGAATCAATGTTCACTTTAGTATGCCATATATCTCTTAATCTCTTCATGTTGCTAAGGTGGATTTCCTCCAGTTTAGGAAAGACACAAACCTTCATTTTAATGAAAACAAACAATTATTACATATAAATAAAAGATAAACAAAAAGGTATTTATACCAATACATACCTTGTCTGCACTAATTCCTTCAATCTCAAAAATATTTTCCATAACAAAACATCCACTTATGATGAGGCTTTTCAACTTCTTCAAACTGCTAGCCATAGGTAATGAACATAGATGTGTCAATTTATCACAATCTTTCACAACTAACCTTATCAAGTTTTGAAAGTAGAAACTTGACAAGTGTTGGTCACTCCATATCTTATAGATGTTGAGTGAGAACAAATTCATGTTCTCTAAGTTTGGAACTTCAACCTGTAAAGAGATACACAATTAATATGTTTTCAACAAATGAACTAATTATTTAAATAAATATGAAAAATATGTAATGTCATACTAGTTCACCAAAAAGAGGAGGCACAGTGTCACTATGGTCATCTTCGTCAGTAGAAATTTTTGTGTGATCCCTATTTGTAGTTTGAGTCTCTGCTGAATGTAACCAGCAAGATCTCCTGACTTTGGTAAAACAAGTAAATAATGGCAATGATTGGAGTGTCAAAGTGCGTAATTTGAGAAACTCAACCTTATCACAATCCATTGGTATTTGAAAGATCTCCTTCAAAGATTTGCATTCACAAACCTCAATCTTTTCTAAACTAGCTAGAAATTTCTTCATGGAAGAATTACGTTCAAAAATCTCACTTGTTCTTGTGCTAGTAGAAATTTTAGTTGCATAGATGGAGAAGAGATTTCCCAGTTGGTAACACATCTCAACCTTGATGGTTTTTAATTTAGCAAATGATTCAAGTGTAATTGGACCATCACATATCATCTTTAAGTTCATCATATTGCAGAGGCATAGAGATTCCAAGTTGGGAAAAATGTTCACACAATTAGACAAATACGTTGAGTTGACATATTTGACGTCATTATTATTTATGATGGATAAGTGTTTCAAATCCTGAAACCCATCTATGTTCAACTCATTAACAACATTTTGAACACCTACCTTTCCCAACAACAAAGTTTGTGTTGTTTTAAACAACAATTTTATGCCTTTATGGGAGTGAATATCAGTGTCGTCCTTCAGTTGTAATGCCAATACTTTGAGTTCTTTATACTTATTGGGCATCCTAAATTCTCCAACAGAAATCATTTCAAAATCTCCAATCTCAATCTTGTAATATTTTAACTTGTCAAAGAACAATTGATTAGGAAAACTTGAAAGACACGGGATGCTTAAGTTTACCACTTTCAACTTATGCAAATTTGTTAGTTCAAAAAGAAATGAATTTTGATCTTTATTTGTATTTGTTTCAATGAACATTTTGATCAAGCTTTTGCTTATGTACAACTCTTCCAAACAGGTCAAACTTGATAAAAGATTAGGTGGAATAATCTTCAACTCGAAACAATCACTGGTGTCTAATAGTTGTAACTTATCCAGGTATCTTAACTCAACTGGCAAATTTTGAAGTTGAGATCCAGAGAAACTAAGATCCGTACTTTTTTTAACTTTTCCTACTAGAATAAATTGCAATCTAAAGTGGACCGCTCAAGAACACATTCCTGAGGTTCGATGACATTCCTTGAATATGGTAAGCTTGATCGATGAAACGTCACAACCACTTGTCAAATTTTTCATTCTTCTAAAGAAACTCTCAGGTATTTCCAAAGATGGATCACTAGTATCTATTTGCAAAAATTTAAGTTGAGGACAATTGATGAATCGAGGAAGCCCATCAATAATATCACTATTGCATATAGAAATTGAAGTGCACTTTTCAAGCTCGGGCCAATCATCTAGTTTGCCATCTCTCAAAGCAAAAATATTGTGATCCTTGTGTGCATTACTTAAAGCATCACCTCGAATAATATGAGACATCATGAAATGAGTATTAGGGCTTTTGTACGACACCAAACCCAAGTCTTTTAAGTCGTGGATTGATTTATTTATTTTATGTCGAGCTTCACTAAGCAATGAGACTCCTTCAAATATACCCAATCCAAAACAATATTTCACCAAGTCCATAATTAGGGGTAGAGGACCCATTTGAGCACAAAGCAAGTAAATGAACTTGAGCTCCTCGTTTTTTTTTGGAAAATCATATTTTACCTTCTTAGTATCTCTGTAACTTTTCCCATTCCACCTTAAATTTGTCTAGCGTAGGTTCGCTTTCTGACTCAATCCAGCTTTTAAATCTCTTTGCAAATCTAATTATTGTCATCGGTATCCCTGTACAGTAGTTTTTTATTTCTTCTTTAGGTCATAGACATTTTATTACCTCCACCAGCCTCCTTTTTCCAACACCTCAAGGAACATTGTCATCTATTCCTTTAAACAAAAATATCGACTCAACATCACCTCATCAGAAATGTTTCTTATCAAGTGAAGAAAAGCAGAAAACTTTGCATCCCTATCGTAATAAAAAATTTGCTTTTTTTAGCACTTTTTTCAGCAGTCTCTCCTATGTTGTTGATTGTATTCCTGGGTTCTGGTCAGGATTATGCTTATTAGGAGGACAAATATGGATCGTCCCTGGGTTTTGTGGATGAGGGTGAGAGTTCACGAACACTCTTCACCGCTCGATTTAGGACCAGGAGCTCTCGGAGAGCGTTCCCTGGATTTTTGTGCCATCTTCCCGCAACCTGTGATTGGATGGAAATTGTCTGACTTTATTCATACCAAAAGTGTAGACACATAAGTCTTGTCGAGGTTGAACGTAGGACTGAACCTTCTATAATTTATAAATTATAATCAAAAGTGGAATCTGTCAAGTATGAACGTAGAACTGAACCTTCCTATGCAGGATATTTTTACTCACAAAAATATGAGTTAAACAAATATATTATAAATTATAAATTATAATCAAAAGTGGAACCTGTCAAAGTTGAACGTAGAACTGAACCTTCTTGTGCAGAATATTTTCTTACAAAAATATGAGTTAATCAAATATATTATAATTTATAAATTATAATGAAAAATACAAATGACAAACAAATACCCCTGTAGTTTTATGCCAGTTGCACTCGGAAAATTCACTCCCCGAATTTGGAAAAGGTATTCAACGGGGAAATTTTCGCTCATGACAATATACCATGAACTTGCTTTTCAAGTTTTGGCATGATCCAACCGTCAAGAAGCTAGGATCATAATTTTTTTGAGCTGTTTGGTGAATTTGCAAACTCAATTTTATGCTCTCTTATTCTTCTTCTTTCTCTCCACAATCCTGTAAAAATTAACATTCTCTTAACTTCAAAGACTTTTTCCATTTGAATTAAGTGAGACAAAATGAACTGACAAATTTGAGATATAAATGTTGGAAATCACACGTAGAGTAGAGATAAAACCAATTCATAGTTTATAAATAGGTGTAAATCTCATCCTACAAACCGGATTTGTAGGGTTGACATTTCCCATTTTAAACCTCATTAGTTTCTCTTTTAATTCTTATCATCACACCTTGAAATAAAGTTATTCCTTCAATTTCTTTCCATAATACGCTTACCTATTAATTAATCAAGAAATTTCGTTTTCTTTATTCTGTACAATCTGTTAGTATCTATAATCCCAATTTTGTAGGTCCTCGTTTTTATTTTATTTTATTATTATGATTTGTTAGTTTATTTTTCTATTTTTCATGTTGTAATCATTATTATGGTAATCATGAAAAGATGTATTCCCAAAAGTTAACATTTCAAACAAATTCTGATGTGCGACAAAAACAAATTTCTAAATCTAACTTCTTTTGCAGGAGAGTATATCAAATTTGCGTTTTAGAGAAATACAAGAGTTATGTCTTGGCTCACGGCCCATCCCAAACTCCTGCTTCCGTATCTTAGATTCTTTGATTGTGGTTGGGTGCAAGTTTTCATCAGATGTACTTCTACCCTTCAGTTTACTTTCTTTCTTAGCTAAATTGGAGACGTTGGAAGTTAGAAACTGTGTTTCTGTCAAAGTTATTTTTGATGTCAAATGTACGACACAAGACACGATGACTTTTCCTCTAAAGAAATTGACTTTATCCCAGCTCCCAGATCTGAAGAATATTTGGAATGAAGATCCTCGTGGAATTCTAAACATGCACCATCTCCAAGAAGTACATGTTGAGGAATGTAAAAGCCTTGAAAGCGTGTTTCCGACTTCAGTAGCCAAAGATCTTGTGGAGCTTGAAAGTCTA